GGTGTTTAAGAAATGTGACCTTTCTAAAGTTAAAATTATACAGAAATCTGGCTCTTATGATTTTTATCTACTGTCCTGACCAAACACTATAACTCATTTTTTTAACTTTCAGTTGACACTATTTTTGCTTGCTCTGGACTGAATTTAGATTCTTAGTTTAAACGAAGTATGTGTTTTACCAGTAACTCTCCTTGCAGTTCCTCAGGTTCAGCAAATCTTTCATTCCTGATTCCTGATACTATAACTCAATGGAAGGCAAATGGCTTCTGTGTGAATGGTGAGGCTGGATTTGGCATTTCATCAACAATCACTCTGGAAGTCTCCCAGTCTTTCTTTGTTAAGATTGACTTGCCCTTTTCGGTTGTTCAAAATGAACAATTTGATTTGATTGTCAGTGTCTTCAGCTACCTGAATACATGTGTAGAGGTAGGTCGTTCCCTTTGATTTGAGGCAAAAATCTAACAAAACTTAAAGGATGCTTTAATATTTTCCTCCAATATTGCCATATTATCTTTGTTCTCAAATGTAAAATGATACTGTTGGGGGATGAAACTTGTTTCCATATTCCACAAACAAAAAAAACTGCTCTAATTCACAACAATGATTTAAGCACCATTTTGAGAATAGCATTTCATAATTATACGCATTCAAGTGCTGCCCTCATTGCCATGATTTTTTTTTTTTAAGATTTCAGTTGGGTTGGAAGCATCTCAGGATTATGAAGCAAGTATCAACACCCTGAAAAACAATGGCAGTGAGATTATCCAAGCTGGAGAGAAGAAAACATATGTCTGGACTGTTACACCTAAGAAATTGGGTAAGTGTCCACATGAATCTGTCATGGAAAACCGGCTCATTTTTATTGTCTCTATTTTTCCTTAAATTCTCTACACAAACCTAATTTTCTACCTCAACTATTTAATTCTCTCTCTTTTTTCATGCTCCATTAATCATTCTAATCTCTAACAGTCTAATCTCTGGTCACTAATGCTGTATACAGCAAAAAACCATTCATTTGTATAAAAGCATAAGGTGATTAACAAACACTACTAATGCTAACTTACATGACCTAACAAGCCCTCAATGTTTGGGATTCTCTCACCCCAAATGAAGGCCGTGTTATCAGGAATACTGCCTCAATTCTTCACTTCCCACATGCCTCTCCTTCACCTCCCACTATCGATCCATACAACCCATACAAACATTGATCCTTAATCACAGTGGGCAATCATAGAAATTGCTAGGATTTGTAAATGTCCTAAATATATCATGGGACACCAAAAATGCTGAACACTTGGATGGGGATCAAATATTGAGAATATTGTCTTAGTACATATGTTATCTTTCATATAGAAAAATAAATACATATCATATTGAAAATATAGATGAAGAAAGAAGTTTAAAATCTGGTAAACAAGAAACGTTAAATGTAACGTGCATGATATTTAGTATTGCTACTTTAAAAATTGTGCCTTTAAAATTTTCTTTAATTCATATCTCCTATTCATGGTCTTATTTTAGCAGCAAAGATATATGTATGTGGTCATTTTAGTTCAACAGTGAACTAAATGTCTAGTCTTTCTCAGATTATTTGTTCTATTAGATTTTAAGTTTCTCAATTTTTCTACTATGCAAGATCTTCAAAAATCTTACCCTGGCAACTGGGATAAATACTGTGCACGCTTGTATGGTTTTATGGCATTAAGTGGAGGATACAGGTCTAAGTGTGGAGTAGCAAAGGGTTTCCAAAACGAAGAATCAGAACCAAACACACCACCAATAAACACAAAACTAGAACAGTATACTGGTTATATATATATGTTTTTCTTTTCTTTTTTTCTTTTTTTTAATTAAATGATAGCTGTGTACATTAATGCAATCATGGGGTACAGAATGGTGTTTTTGTATACAATTTGAAATATTTTCACCAAACTGGTTAACATACACTTTATGACATTTACTTAGTTATTGTGTTAAGACATTTATACTCTACTTTTAGAAAGATTCACTTGTACCCTTGTAAGACAAACCATAGAGGTGA